GCAGACCATCAAACAGCGACATAATTAACGTGTGTGAGTGTGTGTGTGTGTGTGTGTGTGTGTGTGTGTGCGTGTGTGTGTGTGTGTGCGTGTGTGTGTGTGTGTGTGATTGAAGATAATAACACACTGACACTCTGATGCACTTTCAGCCGCGCTGGAGCTTCAACAGCTTCAACCAAACCACCACAGACTGTGCCACGTCTCACAGTCTAACTCTCTCTCTCTATCTCTCTCCCTCTCTCTCACTGTCTCTCTCTCACTGTCTCTCTCTCTCTTTTACTGCCTCTCTCTTTCACTCTCTCTCTCTCTCTCACTCTCACTCTCTCTCTGTCTTTCTAACTCTCTCTCACTGTCTCTCTCTTACTGTCTATCATTTCCCTTTCTTTCCCTGTCTCTCTCTTTGTCTTCCTCTCCTCTTTCCCTCTATTTCACTGTCTGTCTCTCCTCTCTTTCTCACTGTCTCTCTCTCTTACTGTCTATCTCTAACTGTCTTTCTCTCTTTCTAACTCTCTCTCTCTCTCACTGTCTCTCTCTCTAACTCTCACTGTCTCTCTCGCTCTCTTTTATTGTCTCTCTCAACGTCTGTCTTTCTCTTTCTAACTCTCTCTCACTACATTTCTTTTCTCCCTCTCGCTCTCTCTCTCTGTCTCTCTTTCTCACTGTCTTTTCCATCTTTCCCTCTCTTTCCCTGTTTATCTCTCTCTCTTCTCTCTCTCCTCTCTTCTCTCTCTTAGTCTCCTCTCACTCCCTCTGTATCTCTATCCTTTTTGTCTGTCTCTTTTCTCTCTTCTTATGTCCATCTCTCACTCTCTCTCTTTTTCTCTAATTCTCTTTCTTTCTCACTCTGTCTTGCTCTCTGCCTTTCTCCTTCTCTGTTCGTTTGCTGTCTCCTTGTCTCTTCTTCTCTTTCTCCATTCTCTCTCTCTCTCTCTCTCTCTCTCTCTCTCTCTCTCTGCTGTATACACCCCCCTTGCTCGGCCACAGAGAGGCAGTTAGAGCCACACTGCTGGCTCGGCTTCCTGGTTGGTTTTTGGTTTTACTGATTTAGAACCCAACCGGCTATTGTACCAAACACACTCACAGCGCAATCGACATCAACCCTCCCGAAAATACGCCGGATCACACACTGTCCGTCAGAGGTTTGGAGACGTTCTCTTTAAGTTCGTCTTTAATCAGAATGATCACATTTCTGTGCAGTCGCTGACTTTATTAAAGCCCAACCAGCACTCTTAAAACAGATGGTTCTTCAATGGGTTCTTCATTAAAGACAGTGATTCTATATATAACCTTGAACCATCAAAGAACCCTGTAAATGTTTAAATGGCTCTTTGCATGTTGAAATGGTTCTTCAGATTGATGAAAATGTGTTGTATGTAGTTCTATGGTATCACTTCTTTGAAAATGGTTCTATATAGCACCAAAAAAGGTTTTTGACATCATAAAAACAGCAGAACCCTGTGGTACTTTGAACCATACGTTCTCCATCAATTGGAAGAAACTTTCCACCAAGCAAAGAACCAAGTGTAAAATAATTTTATTAACAGCTTATGGTTCCAAATAGAACCATTCCCTTTACCAAAGAACCCTTGAAGAACTATCTTTTTAAAGAGTGAGGGTTATTTGGGAGAAAACAATAAAATGATGTAAATATTTGATGTTTGTTTAGGCCACGCCTCTTTTCAAACATTGTCGTGATATCAGCACTCAAACCCTTCAGGTGTTTAGACCAGCTTTGGGCCAAAAGAGCCTCAATATAAGACTTTAACAAGTATTTGGAAAAGAAAACATTATTTAAAGCTGCTCTTCATAGCAAGAAAGATGAACATGAAGAAGATGAAGCTGAATGCTGAAGATAAATAGACACAAATCATCAGCACAGAGCTGATTTTAATCAGGGATGCATTGATACCAATACTGGTATCGAGTATCGGGTCGATATTAAGCTCATCTACTCATACACATAAAAACTCAGGGCTTGATCCCCAGTGATGCTACAGCCATCTGTGGGCAGGATGGCCCCCCATCTCCCCTCATCACTCAGCATGATCCTAGCCAGCGCAGGCGTCTCTTAGCCGATGTAACAGAACTGATGGTTAGTGTTCTCCTGCAAGCGTGTTGCGCTCCAATGACATTTCACTGGAGCTTCACAGGTCTTGGAGGAAGCCTGTGTTTGTCCTCACCCTCCTAGTGCTGGTGGTATTGTGTGATTGGGGGGGGGGTCCTATATGCAACTATATATGCACCTTTACTATATTTGACTGAAGAGAATAGCAAGATATAAACATTAATTCTGTGGTTTTCTTTGTAAATCAGGCTGTAAATTTAGCTTCATTGCTCAGTGTTAGCAGCGCTGCTCAGGGTCTCTTTGCTCAGTACTCGTGTTATTCTGAATGAATCAGCTTTATTGATAACGGTCCGTAGACTGAAAATCAAAGATTATGTCCTAAAGAATTTGAGCTGTCCCCAAACTTCTGATGACAGTGTAGATCACAGATGGTCTAAACAGCAGCAGGTGTTTCTCTCCTATAAACCCCCCATTAAATGCGCCGCTCTGAGAAACTAAACACTAATATTCCTCTTATTTAATCCTCTCCTCCTGCAGAACATCCTGCAGAGCAAAACAGCAACTCACTGACCCGCTCGCTTCGTCATTACACACCAGCAGCCTTAATAAACACTCAGCGGAAAGAAAGTCATAAAAAAGACAGAGTGAGGAAGAATTACGCAAAGAAAGAGAAAAAGACAGAAAAAAGGTACAGAAAGAAACAGTGAAGCAAAGTATGAAGAAAGAAAAACAATGAAGGAAGAAAGAGAAGAATGTAGAAGGTAAAAGGTGAATGAAGAAGTTATGAGATGAAGAAGAAAAAAGCAGGAATAGGTAAAAAAGAAGGAAAGAAGCAATGAAGGAAGAACAGAAAGAATAATAAAAGAAAAAAGTAAGGCACAAATACAGAAATAAAAACTAAAGAAAGAAGCAGTGATGGAGGTAAAGAAAGAATGAGGGTTAAAAAAAGAGAAGAAAAGAAAAAAGAAGAGAGGAAAAACAGAATAAAGAAATGAAGGAGGGAAAAGTCTGAAAAAACATAAAAAGAAGGAAAAAGAAGAGAGGAAAAACGGGAATAAAAAAAGAAAGGAAAAAGTAAGGCATGAAAGAAAGAAAGAAAGCAATGATGGAGGTGAAGAAAGAATGAAAGAAAGAAAAAAGAGAGAAAAAAGAAAAAGAAGAAAGAAAAAAAACAATAAAGAAAAGAAGGAAGGAAAAAATTTAAATAAACATAAAGAAACGAGAAGAGAAGAAAGAAAAGGGGAATAAAGAAAAAAGAAAGGAAAAATTCTGAATAAAAATAAAGAAAAGAAAAAGGAATGGAGGAAAAAGGGAATATGAAAGAAAGAAAGAAAGAAAGAAAGAAAGAAAGAAGCAATGAAGGAGGTGAAGAAAGAATGAAGGAAAGAAAAAAGAGTTAAAAAAGAAAAAGAAGAGAGGAAAAAAAATAAAAAAAGAAGGAATAAAAAAATCATAAAAACAAAAAAGAAGAGAGAAAAAAGGAAATAAAGAAAAGAAGGAAGGAAAAAGTAAGGCATGAAAGAAAGAAAGAAAGAAAGACAGAAAGAAAGAAAGAAGCAATGAAGGAGGTGAAGAAAGAATGAAGGAAAGAAAAAAGAGAGAAAAAAGAAAAAGAAGAGAGGAAATAGGAAATAAAGAAAAGAAGGAAGGAAAAAGTAAGGCATGAAAGAAAGAAAGATGGAAAGAAAGAAAGAAAGAAGCGATGAAGGAGGTGAAGAAAAAGAAAAAGAAAGATAAAACAGAAAGAAAGGAATAAAAATGAAAGGAGGAAAGCAGTGATGGAGTAAAGACGGTGGTTCCTCTGTGTTTCACAGAAAGCCATAAACGCTGCTCAGCTCCTAAATCATGGTGATTTATGGACTCTGACGTTGATCCTCTGGAGTCCAGCAGGTCCAGAGTGACTGACCATTCTGTTCATTCAAGATTCTATCCAGGAATACACCCTCACTGCCCACAGCAGGACCATCCTAATAAACAGCCCATAATAATCAGCCCACAATTAACAGAATAAACAGGGCTCTTTAAACGCCGGCGGCAGCCGCACGTAGGTGGCGCAGCAGCCACAAATTAGAGACTCACGCTGGAGATTATTTAGTCTGAGGAGGAACTTATTCCACGTGTCAACATTCTTCTGGTTGAACAGGGTTTAGGATGGAGCCATTAGGGGTCACTTTCCCTGGGGATGAAAGGGGAATTCCACCAATTTTTTTTAAAATTCCTGCATAGGTCAGTGTGTGCAGAGTGATTCAGAGTGGTTTGGTGTGAAATGGTTCAGATGTCTTTACAGTGGTGGTGATAGGAACCAGGGGTCGCCATGACTACAACACAGATATAGACATTTTATTTACTATCCAGAACCACCAGTGAACCTACACGAGTCTTCTGAGTTTATATGAATGTTGATGATGGAAAATAGTGGAAAATCTGAAATAATAAGTTTTCTTTGGGGACTATTTTGCCTCATAAAGCCCTGCATGTATCCCTCCACCATGAATGGAGTTTACGTTCTCAAAACTATCATAAAACAGTGTCTCAGTCAACAGGCAGTGAATTCATAACCGTTTCATGTGGTAACTTAGTCCACTTAGAGCTGGACGTCTGGTTCCTATCACCACCACTGTGAACAATTCTGACTCAGAAGTTTTTCTAGTACAGAGTGTTTCACACCAAACCACTCTGAATGAAATTTGTTTACATCTTAACCATTTAATTATGCAGAAATTTTAAAAAATTGGTGGAGTTCCCCTTTAAGTCTAGTCCTGGACCACACAGCATTCTGAATGGAGATTCCCCATTGAGAGGAAAATGTAGGCTAGACCTAATCCCTGTCCAGCAAGATGAACTAAGCTAAAGTTAAGCATTAGATCTGCTCTATAAACACTCTTCTACCATTAATAATGATAATAATAATAGTGATATTAATTAGTGTGCTTACCTGATGCAGGTGGATTGCAGATGCCTGTGTGATTTCCTCTGGTTTCTCCTGCTGATGTTTGAGCTTCAGTGTTTTCTCATCGTTTTGGGTGACCGTCCTGCCAGCATGTGGAGCAGCACCTGCAACCCAACACCACGGGACAGAAGGGAAAAGGGCATTCCTAAACTAAAACTGCCCATTCCCAGTCGCGCACGCTTCCCCTCCCACCGTTGCTGTGGCATTGTGGTGAGAGAGAGGGAGGCACTGGAGAGAGTTCATTTTCACTGCAGTTCAGCAACTCGGAGCTTCCAAATCCCATATTTCTGTCATTATAAGTGGTGCTTACTCTACGCTACACTGCACAAAAAGACACCTTGTCAAGTGACACGATCTTAAATCTACTGGATGTTTCTAATGTTTCTCATTTTGAGATGGTTGTAAGTTTGTTATAAGATTATCTAACTTATCTAACATTTTATCAAGAGAAAAGATCTCACTGTATTGGCAGCCCTGCTGAAAATTGACCAGTAAAAACCACTGGGATTAAAACCTGATGGTTTTGCTTTCTAAGGAGAATCCTGTAGAACCTTTAGATTCCATTAGAAAACCATCAAATGCATCTGGAATCAGAACACCTGTTTAACCATTAGGGTCCTTTACACTTTACACTGAGACCATTGGACACTTTTAATAGTATTTATGTATGTATGTATTTATTTATTTATTTATTTATTTATTAGCAGGGAGATAATTTTGCTAGTTTGAATGATATATCTTAATTTCTTACAATAAGAAATAATTATCTGTCAATATAGTGAGAGTATTACTTGATAAATTCACTTGAACCAAGTCAAACATGCCTAGAAATATGTTAGATAATCTTTTAACAAGCTTACAACAATCTCAACATAATGAATATTACATCACCTACATCAGGGGTGTCAAACTCAACCACTAAAAGAGGCATATTAAAAAATCTCAACGAATCCGTGGGCCAGAGAACGTCTATGTTTTTATTTCATTTTTAATTAACATTTTGCTGTAAATCAAACTGACCATTGTTTATTGAAAATACATGAAATACATGAAAAACTCCAACAGTAAAATCTGTGCACTTGAAATCTTACATGAGCACTTGAAATATTCAGAATGTAAACGTCTCCGGAGCTCAGTCTTTTAAACCTACCTATTTGTTTGAACTAGACTCCTGGTATCCTTTCTTTACTGCAAGTTTATTAAGATTCTGGCTCAGTTTCACTTCACATCAGTTCAGTAGGCAAGAGGCAGTGTACAGACACATCTTGGCGTTCTGAAGCTTAAAAGAATAGTTTGGCAAAAAAAAATGCAGTCATTACCGATTATCTATAAGAAAAACAAGAAACAGTATGTGGCTGAAAACAGCAGTAACAGCCTGAATTGGACCGGTTTTTAGCTGTGCTGACATATTTTAGTCTGTGTTTATACAACCCCATTTCCCAAAAAAGTTGGGATGCTGTGCAAAATGTAAATAAAAACAAAATGCAATGATGTGTAAATCATTTAAACCCTATATTTAACTGAAAACAATTACAGTACAAATATAACATATCAAATATTGAAACTGAGAAATTTTATTGTAATTAATAATTAAAATAAGAATAAGAATATGAATAATAATGGATAAAATAACAAATAATTAATAGAATAATGAAAATAAGATAAAAATGGTAAAAAATCAGGTAAAACAGTTGCAGGCAGAGTGGAGGTGGTTAGAGAGTAGAAGTTTAAAATGACCAAGTGACGCCTACAGACATGAACACTACAGACCCATATACACTACACATGAACACTACAGACCCATATACACTACACATGTACACTACAGACACATATACACTACAGATGTACACTACAGACACATATACACTACACATATACACTACAGACACATGTACACTACACACGAACACTACAGACACATGTACACTACACATTTACACTATAGACACATGTACACTACACATGAACACTACAGATCCATGTACACTACACATTTACACTATAGACACATGTACACTACACATGAACACTACAGATCCATGTACACTACACATATACACTACAGACACATATACACTACACATATACACTACAGACACATGTACACTACACACGAACACTACAGACACATATACACTACACATGAACACTACAGATCCATGTACACTACACATGAACACTACAGACACATATACACTACACATATACACTACAGACACATGTACACTACACATATACACTACAGACACATATACACTACACATATACACTACAGACACATGTACACTACACATATACACTACAGACACATATACACTACACATTTACACTACAGACACATGTACACTACACATTTACACTACAGACACATGTACACTACACATATACACTACAGACACATATACACTACACATATACACTACAGACACATGTACACTACACATTTACACTACAGACACATGTACACTACACATGAACACTACAGATCCATGTACACTACACATGAACACTACAGACACATATACACTACACATATACACTACAGACACATGTACACTACACATATACACTACAGACACATATACACTACACATTTACACTACAGACACATGTACACTACACATATACACTACAGACACATATACACTACACATTTACACTACAGACACATGTACACTACACATTTACACTACAGACACATGTACACTACACATATACACTACAGACACATGTACACTACACATATACACTACAGACACATGTACACTACACATTTACACTACAGACACATGTACACTACACATGAACACTACAGATCCATGTACACTACACATGAACACTACAGACACACTTACAGACATATATTCACTACACATACTATACAAACACATATATAGCCACTGAATAATTCACAGTAGATACTGTTGTACTATACATTAAGTATATTTAATTGCAAAAATCCTGTTCACTCTGTTGCTAAAAGAGCCCCACTGAGCCTTTGAATCTGTCCACACTGTTCTTATGATGACAAATTTCACAGATCTTGTTCTGATTGGTTTCAACTGATGAAATTTGGGGTAGTTATGCCCCAGGTTAACATCTACCAGTACACATTGAATTTGTTCCGTAGTCTGTTTTTACAGAGTGTTAGTGTTGTTTTAGAAACATTTTGCCCTGATCTGTGTTTATGGACGATGGGATCGATGAAAAGCAGCTGGAGGAAAGTGGATCTGGGAGAGAAAGAGCAGGCTGAAAATAAACCCTTCTGTGGCACTGCGCTACCACTTAAAGAGGAGAAGTAGCTGTGGCCTGAAATAGCCTGGGCCGAGGCTGCGCTGTCATGAGAATAATGAGCACAGGCTCTCTCTCTCCGCTGTAATCACACGCTTTATTTTCGCATCCAGATGTGCCCGTCTGACCGCCTGTCCACCAGTTAGAGCTGAGAAAACGTGGGCGATCTCTTCCAAAATAAACCAGAACTCCTAGTGCTGACCCATCCAATGACTTTCAGGGTGGTGTCTGCCTATTTTCGATATGTTTTGATCTATCAGCTGGATCAATAACTGTAAGCATCTGTCAATTAGCCTGAAAATCTAATTTCCTCTTGTAGTTTCTTCAAACTATCCCAGTAACTCAGTAACTCTTGACTGACTGTCGAAACATATTTGAAAAGAAACGGAAGTGACGTGTGCAGCATTAAACTGTGTGTAGTTGTTCAGTGTCTCTAATAGACTTGATGATGTGGTTTCTGACACTGTGTGACTCACTGTTATCTGTAAATGTAACGTCTATAAAAATAGTGACAAAATTCAGGCTCCAGGATAAACACTGCTCCTCTTTTTAGCCACGTACAAGGCTGTAGTTTTGGTTTTGGAGGTGCAGGACAGACACTATGAAGCTGGAGCCCACCTCCTTCACCCCCACGCACACAAAACACTAAAACTCAGCCAACATTCAGGTCATTATGAGATACTGACATCCTGCTTTGGGCTGTTTTCAGTCACGATTCTCAGCAGACAGTTCACTTCAGCTACAGACGTTGAAGTACAGATGGGGCAAAACAATCAAACTCTGTAATCAGTAATCAGAGCTAAAAACGGTAAGTTTAGTGCTAACTGAGTAGATTATCTTCTCATCTTACTTCTCTCTCTGCAACACAGTTATGAATATCTAAAGCCACTTTATTTGTCTCACCTCAACTATAATAGCATTCAGACTGTAATGGAATGTTGTGTCTCATGGTTATGTTATAAAGTAACTATGGAAACTGGTGTAGTGTAACTATGGAGATATGTGTAGCATTGACTGCAGTGTAACCATGGAAATGAGTGTAGAATAACTATGGAAATAGGTGTGGCCTTACCATTCGAATGGTGTAATGTAACTTTGGAAATGGTTGTAGCATTACCATGGAAATATTCATAGCATTACAATAGAAACAGATGTACTGTAACCATTGAAATGGGTGGTGCGTCACCATGGAAACGGGTGGAGCATAACCATGGAAATGGGTGCAGTGTAACCATGGAAATAGGTGCAGTGCAAACATGGAAATGGGTGTAGAATATCTATGGAAATAGGCGTAGCCTTACCATGGAAATGTAATGTAACCATGGAAATATTCATAGCATTGAAATGGAAATAGATGTTCTGTAACCATTGAAATAGGTGGAGCGTAACCCTGGAAATGGGTGCAGAGTAACCATAGAAATGAGTGTAACGTAACCATGGGAATAGGAGTGGCATAATCATGGAAATAGGTGTAGTGTAATCATGGAAATGGGTGTAGTGTTACCATAGAAATGGGCACACTGTAACCATAGAAATGGGTGTAGTGTAACCATGGAAATGGGTGTGGCATAACAATGGAAATAGGTGTAGTGTAACCATGGAAATGGATGTAGCGTATCCTTGGAAATGGGTGTATTGTAACTCTGGAAATGGGTGTAGTGTAACTATGGAAATGGGTGCAGTGTAACCATGGAAATGGATGTAGTGTATCCTTGGAAATGGGTGTAGTGTAACTATGGAAATGGGTGTAGTGTAACCATGGAAATGGATGTAGCATAAACATGGAAATGGGTGTAACATAACTATGGAAATGGGTGTAACACAACCATGGAAATGGGTGAAGTGTTACCATGGAGACGGGTATAGCCCACTGCTTCATACATCAGTAGTGCAGTACAGATGAATTTTTATTAATCAACTC